TTGTTGTAAAGGGCTCAAAAACGGAATCAAGACGTAAACTCTGCCTAACTGTAGTAGAGGAAAAGTAAGGCATTAGTGATGGGTGCCTATCTTGTTCCTCAATACGTGTCTGATTCGAAAATTGAGTTATTCTTGGTTTTTTTTGCTCGAACATTTGCAGGTTGACGGGCCTGGCACATTTCCTAGCTCATAGCCTTGTTTCAGTAGCATCGAAAGTTTTTACACGGCTAGATTTTTATTTTAAAGTGTTTTTAAAGTTCTTATAAAGTTTTTTATGCAGAAAGTTTTTCAACACACTAGTCCGGGCGATATTTGTGTGCCGAAAAGCCGGAATGCGGAGAATTGATTAGTAATGAAAGTGTAATAGTAAGCTGTACATTCCGCCTCCATAATACACCAGAGATTAGAGTGGCGGCTGAATGGGGAGGATAATGATGTGTTTTGGGATTTGTGGTCAATCGCAAATGATGATTTGGTCTTTGTGGGACGGAATCTGGACTACTACTGCAATTTCAGCGACAAAGCCTTTTGAATTTTTGTGTGGAACCCTCGCCGTCAGATTTCATACACTGAGTGCTGCCGTGCTAAGTCCTCTTGTCATGATGTATGTATTCCGCTCTAGGCGCCGCTGTCACAAGCCACATCTCCTGCGCTAAATTCCAGTTTTATCTGGAACTTATTGAGACACGTCAAATATTCATTAGCTATTATCGTCGCTACAGCAGATGAATGGACATTTGCTGGACGGAACTGCTGATGAATCTGTAAGTGCGTACGATTCCCAGAACAGCAGCGCAAGAGAACGCCTGAAAAATTATGAAAACGATTTGAGAAAGAGGCGGGAACTCGATGAACGACGAGTGAAAGAAGATGCTTTTTTGAGGTAAGTTCTTTGTCACCCCTCGCAAAATTTCATTTCGGAGCAGACAGCTTTCGCTCGAACAGAAATCTATCGCTGGTAGCATGCTAGGAGGATAAAAAATTTAAAATGTTTTTAGCTTCATATATATACAAACATATACATATAAATGTATATATATATA